TTCCTGGCTTGCTCAGTCCACATTATTATAAAACCCAGGACCAGCACCTCAGGATGGCAACACCCACCATGGGCTGGGTCCTCCCCCACTGATCACTAAATGAGAAAATGCCTGACAGCTGGATCTCAAGGAGACATTTCCTTATCTGAGGCTCCTTCCTCTGATGTCTCTTATTTGTGTCAAGTTGACACACAAAACCACCTAGTACATAGTGCTACACCCTTTGAGAGTATTTTCTCTCAAATCACCACAACTATGTGGAGGTCAGGGGAAAATCTGAGGGAGTCAGTCCTTGCCTTCTACCGTATGGTTCCTGGAGATCACACTAGAATCATGCCTGGCAGCAGGTAACATTACCAGATGATCCATCTCACCAACCTCCAGCTCTCTTTTCTTTTTATGGGCCAGTGTTTTAAATGAGTCAGGCTGGCCTTGAACTCACTACATAGTCAAATCTGACCTTTAACTCTGTCTAGTCTCTTGAGGTTATTATGGGCTTGAACTCTTGATCTTCCGGCCTACACCTCCTAAGTGATGGTGTGCTTTGCCACACCCAGCTGAAACAACATTGTCTATCAGAAACAACCAAGGGTTTCCTTTATCACCACACCTACTGCTTATGCACTGTAGTGGAGAACTAGTAAGTCAGGAATAGGAAACAAAGGCTGGAAAGGAAAGAGTAAAACTTATTTAAGTTATAGGATTATATAAGTAATAAATAAATAATATAAGTAATAAATAAATCCAAAAGTGTCTAAAAACTAATGATAAATTTAGCAAGGTATTGTAATGATTTATAAAAATAAGTAGAGCTGGGTATAGTAGCACACGCCTTTAATCCCAGGACTGGGGAGGCAGAGGCAGGCAGATCTCTTGTGAGTTTGAAGCAACCTGGTCTACATAAAGTTCAGAACAGGCAGTGGGCTACACAGACAGACCTTGTTTCAAAAATAAATATGTAACCAAAATAAAATAACTAGGGCTGGAGTTTAGATCAGTGGTAGAACCCTTGCTTTGCAAGCGTGAGTCATGAGTGTATACCCTGCACAAGAGATAATAATAGTAGTAATAGTAATAGTAATAATAATACATGCCGGGCGTTGGTGGCGCATGCCTTTAATCCCAGCACTTGGGAGGCAGAGGTGGGTGGATCCCTGTGAGTTCAAGGCCAGCCTGGTCTACAGAGCGAGTTCCAGGATAGGCTCCAAAGCTACACAGAGAAACCCTGTCTCAAAAAAAAAAAAAAAAAACCTTTTTTAAAAAAAAAAAAAAAAAAAAAAAAAAAAAAAAAGAAATCCAAATCCCTGATAAGAGCATGATATGTTGTTCAATGGGTAACAAAAGTTAAAACTCTATGAACTACCGCTATGCATTCTCTAGTACCTCTACGAACGTGACCAAAGTGAAAACTATCACATATCTGCTAGCCTTGAATGCTTGGTCCTCTTACCTGTAACTTCATTCCTGGCTGTTGTTTTGTTTTGCTTGGAGCAGGCTTTTACTCTGTAGCATGCTTGACTGAAACTCATTATGAAAGACCCCTGTCCCTTAGCCCTTTCTTTCTCAAGTTTGTCTCCTCTTCCTCCTGTCGGCGGCTTCCCCGATCCCCACCCCCGGTGGCCTTTCCCCGCCCGGCCCGAGAACAAGCACCGGGTGGGGC